AGGATTATGTTGCTAGTGAACAACCATGCGTATAATATCACTAATCACTTACACCAAATATTCTTGAATCAGAATTTTCTTGCTTCTTAAAAGTTTTCTAGATCAAGAGGGCTGAGCAAGTTAAACCAAACCAAAAATACAACACAATTAAAATTAACAAAAGAAGTCTATTGCAATTCAACAATGCAACACAAAAAACAAAGCAAAGCTTAATTCCTTAAATCAATAATGTTGCACTAGATCTAACAAACAGGTCAAATCGAATGGTTACAGATTAAGTTATTTTAAATTTCAAGTTTATCAGGTTGGGTAATTTTGAATTTCAAGCTAAAAGGGAAATTTCTTGGGTTGGGTCATTTTGAATTAGTTAAATGCTAATTTTAGTCCCTCAACTTTATAATTTTGCACTTTTTTCATCTCTCAATTTTTGTTACACTTTTTTGATCCCTCAACTCTAAAAACTACATAATTTTTGTCCTTCCGTCAATTAACTATGACGTTGCGTTAAATAATTCCATAATGGCATTTTCTTTTAATTTTTTTGATGACATAGCAATAACATGCCTTGTAATTTAGTTACGTGCACAAATAAAAATGCCAAATCAGATGAACATTAATATTTTTAATGAAAAAATAAAAAAACAACAAAATTACCTTAGTACCCCCTCTCTCAATCCATCTTCTTCCCCTTTTCTTCCTCTTTTTATCGAACCTAGCTCAGGTTCGATGGAATCCAATTGTTGGGTTCCTTAAACCTAGTTGTTGGGTACCTCGAACCCAACTAATTAGGTTCGTTGGAACCCAGTTCTTGGGTTCCCTCAAACCCAATTGGTCGGGGTCCCCATAAACCCAGTAGATTTAGGTTTTGTCAAACCTAGCTTAGGTTCAACCGAACCCAAATGCTGGGTACCTTAAACCCAGCAGAACTAGCTTCCACTAAACCCAACTACTAGGTTCCCTCAAACCCAATAGATCTAGGTTTTGTTGAACCCAGTTTGGGGTTGATGGAACCTAGTTGCTAGGTTCTCTCAAACCCAGTAGATTGAGCTCGATGAAACCCAGTAAACGGGTCTAATGGAACCTAGTAGATCTAAGTTCTTCTTTCGCTTTCCATTCTCAGTTCTTGATTTGCCTATTGTACCTATTCTTTGTAGGTTTTTCTCAAAATTTGAGAGTTGATTTAATGGAATTTGATTAGGGTTTGATTGACATTATTTATTACCAAGTGAATGAGGAGTTAGTTTGGTTTGATGAGATCTGCTAGATTTGATGGAATCTAGCAAGTAGATTTCATTGAACCCAGCAGTTGGGTTCAATAGAATCCAAATTATGTTGGGTTCAACCTTAACTAGAGCAAAGAGGAAAAAAGAGGGGAAAAAGATGGATCGAGAGAGGGAGACTGGGGTACTAAGATAACTTTATCATTATTTTATTTTATTTTATTAAAAATATAAATGTCCATCTGATTTGGCATTTTTATTTGTCCACGTAACTAAATTACAATATATATATTATTGCCATGTCATCAAAAGAATTAAAAGAAAATGTCATTTTGGAATTATTTAATGGTCACGTCATATTTAACTGATAAAAGACTAAAATTGTGCAGTTTTTAAAGTTGGTGGATAAAAAATGTGCAAAAAAAAGTTGAGGTATGAAAAAGTGCAAAACTTAAACTTGAGGAACTAAAATTAACATTTAACCTTTTAAATTTTAGGTTAATGGGGTAGACCCATGACACACTTACATGGGCCTTGAATTGAGTTGGGTAGACTCAACTTTTTAAAAAAATTAAAATTAAAAACAAAAAATTTTAATATTTTCTTTATTTTTTTAAAAAATTAATATTAATTTATTATTTAGTTGAAAATTTTTGTCAAATTAATAATAATACCAATAAATTAATAAATAATTACTATTTCATAGTTTTAACTTTATCTTATATTTAGGAATTAAAATTAAAAATATAATTAATCAAAATTTTAAATTTAAAAAATTTAATTAATTTTAATTGGGTTCAATTCAGATTTGTCTGAACTGATCCAATCCTAATCCGACTTAATCAGGTCTAGGTAATTTCAATTTGAGTTATATTAAATTCTACATTCATATCTTAAACGCATGACACTACCTAAACAGGTGAGTGGGGTCAAATGTTCAAAATTGAGCTCAATTTGGCCAGTTCCATTATGCACAAGCTGCTGAATAATAATAATTTTTTAAATAAAAATAATAAAATATAAAAATAAAAATAAAAGAAAATTAACAAACCTTAGCCAAAACGCTATGAAACCAAATTTCATCCTATATTATTGTTTTAGATTATAATAAATAGTATTTTATTAAATTTTTATTAATTTTATTTAAGTTTAAGTTATAATAAAAAATATTTTACTGCAACATTTTAATTAAGATATTTCACTGTATTTTAATTAACAAAGAAATTTAAAACAAAATATTATTTAAACAGGTACACAAGTATATTAACAATTTATCCAATAATTATTAAATTGAGTATAAAATTTTAAATACTTTAATAAATATAAAGTCTAAAAAATTATACCAAAAATATTAAATGAAATATCAAGTAAGACTCATACCCAACCTTCATACCTAAAAAAATTGCTCACCCGTAATAAGGATCTTTAGATTGACACAGGCACTATTTGGGGCCTTCCTACATCTTCAACTTCAAGCGTCAAGCCTTGACTCTGTTAGACTTTCGCTCATAATTTAGTGAAGATTCCAAATTTTGTTCCAATTAAGTGTATCAAAAATTTACTTTGTTTTGGATAATGGCCTTTTGTCAACGTAAATGTTATGTCTTTTTTTACATTTTAAAATAAGGGAAAAGTATTTTGCAAAATGTCTCCATGGAGAATATTTCTAAAAATATTATATTTTAGTTAATATTTTTAAAAATTATTTAACAAATTAAAAGTTTTATTAATTTAAATTATATATATATAAATCTTTAAACTAATCTAATAGGTCTAACTAATTCATTAATTACATAAAATTTAACAATTTTAAATATAGTTAGTAAATAAAATTTTTTAATTAAAAAATTATAAGTATTAGATTAATTTACAAATTAATATGTATGATCTACATATAAAAAAAATTTAATCCATGGAGACAACCTTTTTGTAAAATTTCCTCATACAACCTCTACATGTCTCTCAACGGAGCAGCAATGAGAAGCAGGACTACAGAGAGAGTGACTAGGAAGCAAGGAAGACGAACAGCACGGACGTGGGATCACTACAGCAGAATAGGGAGAAGCAGAGGTTTCCAGCCAAATTGGAGAATTGACAAGGCAGCATACAATCAAACCGTCCCATTTTTCTTCATGAACTTTCCGAGGGACTGGAACCATGAGCAGATGTGGAGAACCTTTAGCGGATTTGGAAGAGTTATCGACATACACATACCAGACAGGATAGATAAGTATGGAAGACAATTCAGGTTTGTCTGGTATCATGACATGCAGAATGCCAACATGCTGAAAAGGGAGTTAGATCAGATCAAGGTAGGAGGGATCAAGATCCACGTAAACAAACCAAGATTTGATAGGAAAGCAAAAACATAGAGGGAAGGAAGACAAAACGATGCCAAAAAGATTGTCAGCTTTGAAGCAAATAGGAGAGCAGATATGTCTTATGCAAACATCCTTAGAGGCTCGAAGAAGAATGATGCTCGAAAGACTATCAGCTTTGAAGCAAACAGGAGAGCAGATATGTCTTATGCAGACATCCTTAGAGGCTCGAAGAAGAATGGACTTGGGAGTACATAGGTCACTGCTACAAAACAACTTATGCAAAACAAGGACAAAGACAGGAAAGCCACTCACACGACAAAAGGACGAAAGGAATGGATAGCAAAAGGCAGAGATTCTGAATGGAGAGGGTGGGAATTCAAAGCTGAGGAATTAGATTTTGAATGGGTAAAAGGGAATTTTGTGGGGACAACCTGAGCAGTAGAAAGAATCCCAACAATTCAAGAGAAATTCTACATGGAGGGATATTTCTCTATTTCACTCAAACCAATGGGTGGGAAGCTGGTTTTGCTGCAATGTGCGGACAGAGAAGAGCTGGAAGACTTAGTAGCTAATGTAGGAGATTGGTTAGGCCAATGGTTCGATGAAGTGAGACCATGGTCCCCGTCAATGGTTGCTACGGAGAGGTTTACGTGGATAAAATGCCAGGGAGTTCCTTTACATGCATGGGGACCCGAATTTTCCCATGATCTTAGCATGCTATGGGGAAAATTTATCTCTCTGGATGATAGTACCAGCAACAAAAAAAGATTTGATGTTCGTAGAGTCCTGATTTCAACACCCTACATGGAGATGATATCAAAGAAGCTCACCGTGAAGATTAATGGAGAATTCTACAATTTACAGTGCACAGAGGAAGAACATTCCAACAATTTGTTTACTATGAGGTTTGATTTTGAAATTAATAACAAGTCATGTAGTGACCATGATAGTGAATCTTAGTCAATTGGGTCGATAGAAGTAGAAGGCTCTATTAATGGGGTGCTCGAAAGATCTGCAAACCCCTCGGATATTGGAGATGAAGAAGATAATGTCGTGGCACTTTGGCACGAATGGGAAGAGGAAGGCTTGAAGGAGAGGTAGTGCCAGGATATGTGGTCATCTCAAGCATTAAATGAGGCATTAGAAAATTACACTTCCAAGGAGAGAAATTCAAAATATAACCAGGAAATGATGGGGGGAACGTCAAATGGGGGTGGAAGAATAGGGCTAACGACTACAAATTTTGAAATAAGTAATGATGTAGGCGGGATTAATGAAGTGGAACCAATTGAAGAAAATTGTAGTTGGGTTGAAGAAACATTACCTGAAAAAATAGATTCTCGGTTGAAAATGAACCAAAAAAGCAACAAGAAGGTGGATGGAGGGGCAATTGGGCTAGAAGCAAATGGGCCAGAAAAGAAATCCCATGAAAACTCTAAACAGACCCAAGACTCACTCTTGACTGTTATAGACCTTGAGGGAACAGAGGAACAGCTCAACAATGTGAGAAATAACGGGCCAGAACAGATGAAGGAAAAAACAAATGGGAGCAGCTCAAGTGTGAACGAAAGCTAGAGGTCTTTTTTCTAAGAGATGGACAGCGATATTCGGACAATAAGACAGTGGATAAAGGGGAAGGTAAAATCAAAAACTCGGAAAAAGACCAGAAAGACAAAGGTGTGCGCGGCAGTTTATAAAGCAACTAGGCTAATCAAAATAGAGGCAAGGAAAATAAGAAGAGGAAGAACAAAGAAGAATCAACTAACAGACATGGCTTTATCGGAGTTCATCCCCAATGTGAATTGTGCAGTGGCCGATGAGTCCTTAAATGACAGCAAAATCAAAAATTGTAACAAGGCCATTTTAAAAAAGCAAGGAGGAATTTGGGGCAGAGGAAATTTGGGAACTTGCAAAAGAAATTGGCGTAGAGGCACAGGGGAATAAGGAACTTGTCCTGTAGAAATTGGAGCAACTAGAGGAAAGGGACAGGAATCAACAGAAATCCAACAATCGAACATGCACTCTCAGAGGGGAAGGTATGTTCCGATGATTCTAGTGTCATACAATGTTAGAGGGATAGGGAGTCAGTGGAAGAGAAGGGAGATAAGGAAGTTGGTGGGCAAGGAGAAAGTAGAATTTTTTATGATGGAAGAAACTAAGTTGGGAAGTGTAGATAAAGGTATTTATAGTGAATTGTGGGGGACGAATAATTTTGAATGGGCAGCCATGAATGCTGAAGGGTGCTGGGGGTCTTTTATGTGTATGGAATTGTGATATATCTAAGATTGATAAGTCTTTCCAGGGATCAAGATACTTGGGTGTCTATGGCTTCTGAGGCACTGAGAGGGTTCCTATTTACATTATAAATGTCTATTCACCCTGTGACAACAAAGGAAAGAATGAATTATGGAGCAAACTTACCAACATTGTTAACTACAACGGTACAACTGTGTGCATGGGAGGGGATTTTAATGTCACTATCTCACAGGAGGAAAGAAGAGGGTGTCGAGGCATACAAAAGGAAATGGAGGGTTTTGAGGTGTTCATAGTAGAAACAGGGTTGATTGACTTACCAATGATTGGGAGAAGGTTTACCTGGTATCAACCAAATGAAAGAACCATGAGCCACCTAGACAGATTCTTAATAAATGAGGAGTGGCTTGTAACATGGGAAGGCTTGAAACAGTGGGGTTTGAAGAGAAGCATTTCAGATCATTGCCCTATGCTTTTGAAAAATGAGGTGAAGAATTGGGGTCCAAAGCCATTTTGCTTCTTTGATGCTTGGCTAAGGCATCCGAAATTCAAAGACAAAGTAGCAGAGGCATGGAGAACAAAGGAGATCCAAGGATCAGGTGACTTTATCCTCAAAGAGAAACTAAAAAGAACTAAAGTGTTTCTGAAGAAATGGAGCACAGAACACAATAGTGAGTTGAACAAAACAATAGAAGAATGTAAGGAAGTGATACTCCAAATAGATGTGAAAGGTGGAGCTTAAACATTAACTGAAAAGGAGCTGGAATTAAAAAAGAAGAATGAAATCGATCTGTGGAAAAAAATGCAGATCAAAGATTGCATGTGGAGACGAAAAGCAAGAACTTAATGGCTCAAGCTCGAAGATGAGAACTCAAAGTTTTTTCATCAATGCATCAAAGGTAGATGGTGTAGAAATGAAATAAACTAGCCGGAGGTGGGAGGCAACAAATTGATGGATAGCACAGAACTAAAAGAAGGTGTCATGAAGTACTTCCAGGAACTATTCACAGAAGATAATTGGGAAAGACCAATATTAGAATGAATTGAATTCAAGAAGGTCACGCTTGAGTAAAACACAATGCTGATTGCACAATTCACAGAAAAAGAGATAGAGGAAGCTGTGTGGGACTATGATAGTTCCAAGGCCCCAAGACCATATGGATTTAATTTTGGGTTTCTGAAAGCAATGTGGGAGACAATGAAGGATGATGTTGTAAAATTTGTTGAAGACTTTCATAAGAGTGGAAGATTAGTGAAAGGCTCAAATGCATCTTTCATTGTCCTAATTTCAAAAAAAGAGAACCTAGTAAAAATTGAGGACTATAGACCAATTTCGCTAATCGGATGCATGTACAAAATTATTGCAAAACTACTTGCAAACAAAATGAAGAAGGTGATGGAGGGATTGATAAGTGAACAACAGTCAGCATTCATACAAGGGAGATAGCTTATGGACAGTGTAGTTGGCCAATGAAACCATCGACGAGATTAAGAAGAAGAAGAAGAAGAGCCTTATTTTCAAAATTGACTTCGAGAAGGCCTACGACAAGGTTTTTTGGAATTTTATAAATTATATGCTGATACGTATGGGCTTTGACAATGTTTGGAGGAAGTGGATTATGGTGTATCTTTGCTCAGGCACAATCTCAATTTTATTGAATGGCAGTGCAACAAAAGAATTTAGTGTGAGCAAGGGCCTACAACAAGGTGACCCTCTCTCCTCCTTCTTGTTCCTTATAGTTGTTGAGGGCCTTTCAAAACTATTAGCATCCGTTGAAAAAAGGATTTGTTCAATGGAATTACGGTGGGCTCGAAGGGGTTGAAAATTTCTCATCTCTAGTTTGCGGATGACACTATCATCTTCTGAGAGGCCTCGGAAAGAAATGTCAAGGCAATTAAAAGTATCTTGAGGATCTTCGAAATGACTCAAAATCAACTACAATGAAAGCAAGCTGTATGTAATGAATATAGAAGAGGAAGTCTCTCAACGTTGGGCCATCTTCCTAAATTGCAAAATGGGTAAACTACCCATGATCCATCTGGGCATGCCAATTGGAGCAAGTTTGAGAAGCAAGGGCACATGGGCAGAACTAAGAAGCAAAATAGGGAGAAAGTTGGCTGGTTGGAAAAACAGGTTCTTATCCTTGGGGGGGGGGGGTATTGCTGTCATAAACTCCATGCTAACTAGTCTTCTTGTCTTCCTTATGTCTACTTATCTTTTACCTACTGGAGTGATAAAAAAAATTGATGCAATTAGGAGGAATTTTCTATGGGGAGGGTGTGAGAAGAGAAATAAGATTGCATGGGTAAGGTGGGATAAAGTTTGCAAGGATAGGAAACAAAGGGGGATGGGTATTAAAGACCTTAGGATGTTTAATTTAGTGCTAATGGGGAAGTGGAGGGGGAGATTAGTTAATGAGCAAGGAGGCTTATGGAGAAGAGTGCTATTAAATAAATATGGAGGGGAAGGAGGAAGTTGGGAAGAATGGATAACTAAGGGACAGAATAGGGGATCTAGATGGTGGAAAGATGTTTGCAAAATTAATGAGTTGATTGAGGGGAAACAGGATTAGGTGAAGTCGGGTTTTAAGTTGGTTATAGGAGAAGGTGCTAAGGTCTCCTTTTGGAGGGAAGTGTGGACGGGATCTCATAGCTTAGATGTAATGTTCCCTCGATTATCTTCTCTTTCCATAGATAGTCAAAGCACAGTGTAGCAAATGGGAGAATGGATAAGTGATTCACGGAGATGGAGATTAAAATGGAGGAGAAGATTATCAGCATGGGAATAGAACCAAGAAACACAGCTTCAGAGCATCATACAAAATGTGCAACTCTGAAAAGACGCCGACAACAGATGGTGGTGGAGATATGAAAAAGACGGAGAATACACAATAAAATTAGCATACAAGATGCTAACAACAACAGAGGATGGGGAAGAAATCATATGTCTTAAGAGATGCTGGAACTCAACAATCCCATTGAAAATCTGTGCTTTTAGTTGGCTGTTGGTGCTTAGACATACACTCTGCAAGGTAAACCTCCTGAAAAGGAATATCATTAAACAAGAATCAGATGCTTAGTGCAATTTCTATGTAGAAACGGCAGAAAATGAGGACCATCTACTGATGTGGTGTGACTTCTCACAAAAAAAATTTGAAACAAAAATTTCGCATGGTGGAAAATCATGTATGTAATGGCCAAGAGTTGTAAGGATGCTTTTCTCCAACATAGTTGGGAGGGTAGAAACCAAAAAGGGTGGCAGGTGATATGGTATGCTACAATCTGGGCCTTATGGTCAACTCGGAATCGTAGAATTTTCCAAGCAAAGCAAGTGTCCACTGATGAAGTGTTCCACATGGTACAATAAAACTCCTATTGCTGGATCAAGAGCAAAATTGAAGGCTGGACATACTCTTATACGGACTGGTGCAGGGATCCTAGTAGATGCCAAATTGTTAAAGTTCCAAAACTAAGAATGGTAGAAGTTGAGTAAGCATCAACAGTGTTGGCTGTAATTTTCACGGGTTTGAGTACCCCTTGTATTCATTAATAAAAATCTATATTGGCTTAAAAAAAAAAAAACTTAATCCAATAATTAATTTTTAAAAATACTAATTATAAAATAAATTTTAAACAAATTCTCCGAAAATAATGTGGAACGTGGACATACACTATACTTACCTCTTAAACTAATGCTTTTTATCTCGTTTATGTCATTGTATATAATAAAACTATTATAAAATATTGAAATGACAAAATTGCCTATTACTCGTCTTCTTCCCTTGGAATTTCTGTTTTCCTTTCAAGAGTTTCCAACTCAATATCCAATATATGTTAGACAACAATTTTATTAAAAAAAAGCTGTTATTAGAAAACTAGTTGAAAAAGTGTAACAATCTAGTTTTTACTAATAATCTAGTTTTTACCAAGTATTCCTAATAAAATTCTCAAATTTATTAAAAATATAAAACGCAAAAAGTAATTATCGAAACGTCCTAGGGGGGGACCTCCGCAATGTGGGTGGTACTTTTCTGGTTACTTGAGAATTGATAAATTGTTTGGAATAAGTACTAATTTTTTATGAGATGTGATTGATCACCTATTTTATTATTTAGTTAACGTAAGTAAATTTTGGTTTGCGAAATCAGAGTGTGGTTCAAGAGTATATTTACGTATGGGAAAGGTATTAACAATTTAGCAAGCCCACAATGCCTGTTCGATGAACAATATCAATTAGCAAAATATTCTTTTATTAAGCTAAACTAAATGATTCATTAAATTTTTATATATGGGCTACAAGAAGCCCTCTCACTACCTAAGTAATAAAATTTCCCCTTTCTTCCTTTTTTCAAATATCCAGGTGGAGGCCTTAGCAGTCAAATTGATTCAAAAGGAAGGAGAGTTGATTCAAGAAATGTTTGAAGTGAAACAACTGGCAAACTTTCTCAAATAGGTCATATATGTGGCTTCTATTTAGGCTTTTGGGAAAATTAATACCATTTCTTAGAGTCTCTTTGTATCTTTAATTCTATTTTTTTGTCAAGTTAAGCTTACACTTATTGAACAATTGCTTTGACATTTATGTTTGGTTATTTCTTTTCAGTAAAAAGACTTTGTTCTCTCGGTAGGAGTACAGTATTATTATTATTTCTTTTTTTGGCTATTGGACGACGTATTCTGAATTTGTGATTGTTGCACGTTCATGAGGTCTTTGTTCATGGTCCTATGTTTTTTAGTGAATTAATTTTGGCAGGAGCATATTATTGATTTTTTTTTTTTTTCTTTTGGTTCTTTTGTCCACACTTCACGGGTCCTATGTCTTTTACTGAATTGAATGTCTTCTTCATCTCTGCAGGCTTTTGAAGAGGCTAAAAGCTGGTTAATCAAGAAAAGTCTTTTGCATGTGCTGAAATTAGGAGTGCAAGGGCTATAGTGGAACGATTTGGAGAGGCACTTGACGAACAAGAGAGAAGTACAGAAAATTTTAAGACACGGGTTTCATTTAGTGTCTCTGTTGCTTGTTGTTAGAAAAGTTTTTTTTTTTTTTTTTCTAATTAAATTCAAACCCCGCATCTATTATAATATGAGATATTTTTTACAAAATATATGATGACCATTTGTATCACTAAGACTTCTCAAAAAAGCTACTTTTAACTATATTCAGTTTTGCAGTGGAAAATATATTAAAGCTGCTAAATTAGCCACTTTAACTTTGTCGGCTAAAAATCGAAGCTACTTTTAACTTTATTCAATTTTGCAGTGGACAAAAGTTATTAATAATAGCAGTGGAAAAGATATTGGAGCTGCCCAATTGCCTACTCGAACTTTATTCAATTTTGCAGTTCTGTCAACGTAGGTAAAGTTTCAATCTTTCTAGCTGAACTTTGGGACCTAAGAGGGACTTCGGTTTTGTCGTGAAATGGGCATTAATCGAGTGGTTGCCGAAGATGGACTCCCTGATGCTGTTCGCTTCGTCAATGAGGATAACGCATATTAAAGCTATTAAATTAGTAACACTATTTATTTGAGATTTTAAAGAAATTTTAAAAAATTTATTAGATATTTATT